TTTAGATTGGTTTGTGTTCAAATATGTAATCAAAAACATTAATACAAACACTTCATAAACAAAAATGTCTCTATGTACATACGTAACAGTATGCTACTGTTGATCAAAGTTTAATCAAATATCTACCTTTTTTATTTTTGCGAATGAAAGTATTAAAATATTCATTCGTCAATCGGTTAAAAGTGAATGATAAGTTGTAAATAAATGATTACTATACATGTATATCTTCTGTAAATCTATCTTGTATTTTAATCTTGATTTTTTCACTATGGAGATAAACATTTTAATTAGTTAAATAGTCGACATACTTTTGTGTTTAGTTTTCATTAAAGCTGAATTCCACCAATCTTCATAAGCTAGGTCTATCTAGGGTGAGAATCAACTTCAAATTGAACAGTTTTCACCATTCGCCATACTAACGAAATAATTTTGAGCATATTGACGAAATAGCGTGGTTTTTCCTATTGAAACTCTGAATGCTTACTTGGAGGCAATCACATGTTCCGTCACGTAATAACTCACCCCTTACATTGGCCGATGGTTCTACTAAACTGAAGACCAACTTCTGGGAATGTTGGGTCGCAGTTGACTATGATAACCACCACAGACCAATTAAGTGCCAATTACCAGGTTAAATCCCTCAGTAGGATAAATATTAGGAGGACAGTTGTAGATTGTAGTTAGGATATATTTGTTGGTGATCTTGTGATATCGAAATAATACCGAGATCGTACCAAAGTTTACAGGCGAGACTACCGTACATACGTCAGTAGGTTCAAGGTCACAAACAACGGAAAAAGTGTTTTTTGGTACAATTAAACAAAAAGGTACAGTAAAACAACCACTGGTACAGCTGGTTATAATAATGAATGTTTCCATCACACCAACCACGTTCTCTTCTTAAAAGTAGATAACTAGAAACTAAGGTTGAAAGCATCAGGCATTATATTTTGACTGACTGACTACGGTAATAGAGTATTGCAAATCAATACATGTCATTTTCCAAGGTATTTGTATAGTTCATTAATAAGTAATTGGCATATTAACTAACAATAGTTCGTTGAAGATCATAATTGAGACTGATTAATAAAAATGGGGAAAGTTTTCAATGAAACTAAGTTTAATTTTGGCTTGGAAAGGTGTTTAGTCAGACTACATGAATGATTTAGATTCACAGTGAATAAGAATTCTAATATTGAATATTATATTGTTGGCAGGATTTTTAGAGCCTCAAGTTTATACGAAAAATGAGAGTAATGGAATTATTTACATTCTTTGATGGCTGTATATGCGTGAGTTATTTCTATTAAAAACACTTGGATAAAAACTGAAACTAATGGCAACTTTTTTAGGCCTTCTAGTATCACAAAGTAGAACCGAAATTCGTTTGATTCCCTAACATGTCCCTCAACAAAATGTTTTGACATGGTTCTGATGGATGGAAATGGAAGGATTGTACAACTGTATAGAACTGTTATCATATAAGACATTTTTCATAGAGAGTATCCAAATTACTGTATTAAGCAATCTAGCCAAAATGAAGAAAAACCCCTGAAGAAACCACAGCAAGCAAGAATACTATTTTCATTCAACCTGGAGTCAAAGGTGGAGATATTGCAGAGTCAATAAAGGGAAGATTAAAACACACCATAACCGGAATTTTTCACTAATTTTGACTAAATCAATTAAAATAAAGTGATGAAGCTAATATTTAGGCATACTTATGTTAGACAATTAGTCCCTTTAACAAATTTTAATAGTGTAATTAGAAGACGAAGATTATCAGAAAAGAAAATAATGTGAAAACAATTTGAAACCTCATCACTCTGGATAATAAGCTAATATTACCAGGGTAGGTTTAGGGTGATAACAAACAGTTTTTGAATACACAAAGGGAAGTTGAATTATCATATGACTAAGGCTTCAATAAACCTTAGCATACGTCCTTTTACACTTTCGTACAACACAAAAGCCGAGTTAAGATCAATCATATAACCTGTTTCAATTACGTGTTTGGCAATAGAGGATGACGGATGTTTATCCTCTACTCTTATTGGATCATTTGATTTTATTTGTTTCTTCAGCCATATGGGTACATGTTCACACACCCTAATTTTGAGATCACGATTGCTCCTCCCTATGTATATGTGACCACACATATTTAAATTGATAAACACAGTGGGATGTGACGCAGTCGTTTTAATGTCTTTTAGGTTTTGGATGAAGCGTGAACCTCAATCTTTCTCTTGCTACGTAATACGTCTTATTATTAACTGACTTAGGCCTTGATTTCAATAAAATGCTATTTGAATCACCTCTAAATAGTAAGGTGATGTAAACAAGCTTTTCTTCTGCCAAAACCATAGTAGGTCTCACTATACCATAAACTTTCCATCCATTTCTAGTTCAGTTGATTTTTTTATATGTAAACGTTCTTAACAAGTATATGTGTGATCAGATTGTTTAAAACGTTTTGCGCTAATACATTACATAGTTCTGATAATCTTCGTCTTATTACACTAACGAAAGTAGATTTATACATCGTAATTCTGATGATGGCAAGTGCTCATTAAATTCATTTCTGTGAATTTTCTTCCAGCTGGATGTTTTTTTCCAGTTCCAGTCATCATGAGTAAATATTGTACAGTCTGATACAGTTTCACTTTGAGGTTACCTAAGGTGTAGCATGTGTTTCTCTTGGGAAGTCTACTAAAAGTTTCGCTTTGTAGCAACTTTCTTATGGTGCTTGAAAAATAAACAGTTAATTGATATATTGTTATGTTGCAAAAGCACTATTCAGCAAAAGGAAATTTTATTTCCAATGTTAATTGGCAATAGTAATTACATTGTTCACTCAACAGTGTGATCTATTCAGTAATGAAATACTATTCAGAATATAGTTACCTAAGCAACCTATTGTATAAAATAAATGTTTGCTCATCCATTATATTACTTATCGTGTTTTACAGTAAATTTTATGTTTATAATAGATCGTAAATGTTAGCAGTGACCACTGCACAAATTGGATCTATTTTTGGTAGGCATAGTAACTATTCAATAAGAGATTGTATATCTTTAAAAATAAACTCAAGTTTCATATGCATATGCTACTTATTATAAATAATTTAAGACATGATTATTTAAATATAATTATCCATAAAAAATAAAAACCCATGGCTTAAAGTCAAAATTTACCTTACTGAAGTTTGTTTTTCCGAAAAAAAGAATTTTTTTGGATTGAATATAAATAGATTAAAATATCAGCATAATATAAAAATAATATTTATTTGAAGACACGTTGATATCAACCGGAAAATTACTGAAATTACTATGCTTACCTTTCAAACTACCTCTCCAAATGACTAATTTGTCTTATTATGTATTGTTTAGTATGACATTTACTACCTATGGACGACAGCTTCCTATTCTGCCATTTCTGTTTCTTCTAGTGGTTGACTTGATTATGAAGACCTCAACATCTAAGGAGAAGCACGAAATAAAATGGACAGGTTGGATGCAACTAAATGATTTAGAGTTGAGATCATGAGTCAATCGAAGCTAGACCACCATCGAAAACCTGGAAGCACTGGGCGGCCGTTGGTGGTCTAGCTTCAATTGACTCATGATCTCAACTCTATAAAATTACTAAAATCTCCATGAAACCCCTTTTTATAAATGATTCAGAATTCGCTGATGACCTAGCTCTTCTATCCTATACACCCCAACAAATGCAGGTCAAGACGAACAATGTAGCAGCAGCAGCCTCTGTATCATTAGGCCTCAATATATACAAGGGAAAAAGGAATATCCCTAAATACAACACGGAGAACACCAACACAATGACACTTGATGGAGAAACTCTGGAAAAGATGTAATCTTTCACGTAGCACCCTCGATGAACGTGGAGGCAAGGATTGACAAAGTAAGGATAGCATTCCTAAATTTGAAGAACAAATGGAACTCAAAACAACTGTCAAACGATATCAAAGTCAGAATCTTCAATACAAACGTCAATACAGTTCTACTGTACGGAGCTGAAACTTCGAGAACTACCACAACCATAACCAAAAATGTACAAGTATTTATAAACAGTATTCTACGTAGGATACTGAATGTCCGTTGGCCGGATACCATCAGCAACAGCCTGCTATGGGAGAGAAGAAACCAAATTCTAGTTGATGATGAAATTAGGAAAACCCTTTGAAAAGGGATAGGATATACATTACGGAAATCATCAAACTGCATCACGAGGCGAGCGCTAACTTGGAATGTTAAAGAGAAACGAAAAAGAGGAAGGCCAAAGAACACACTGCGCCGCGAATTGGAAGCAGACATGAAAAGGATGAATAGCAACTGGAAAGGATTTCCCAAGACAGAGTTAGATGGAGAAGGTTGGTGAGCGGCTTATTCTCCTCAATGAGAGGTAACAGGTGTAAGTAATGAAGTAACCGGAATACGATAAATTTAACCAGTATGAACAGAAACCCAAACTTTTGTCAAAAAGTTTAAAAACATTATACCTACAAATATTCGAATATGAACAAAAATATTGCTAGCTGTGGTATTGAACGAAAAAGAAAGGCTGGGACGAGAATAATGAAATGCATTGTGTCTATCACCACTCCTGTTTATTTCACAACCGACATCGTCGTCTATGAAAAAAGAGGAATTTCAAATCAATACATTTTATATAATATCTGCAAACTAGTGAAAAATTACAAAACACAATTAAAAAGTGAATTAAAATTCATTAGACGAAAAATAACAAAATTATCTAAATTTTGACAATAATGAAAGTGGATAATTAAAATCATAAAGATAGTAATGTCATGAACAATTCAATTAGGCAGTAAAAATGTCATGTAAAACTAGGAGGATCTGTGGAGATTATTTACAAAATCGTCTATTCATTCATAATTTTCCTACAGAAAAGAAACGTGAAAAAAATATAAAATATAAATCAAATCAACATTTACAACTGTACTTGTTTTACTAGGTTATTAAATAATCGGAAATTTACGATTTTCACAACTATTCATTCTCCATTGATCTACATCTTCATACCAATAAGGTCTTTCCATGTTATCAATCTCATGCGCCAGCATACATAGTCGACAATCAGAGAAAGTATTAAAATCAACTGTTCCATGATTATGCCATTTGAAGTATTCATTATAAGCAGTTTTATTTCTGTCTAGATAGTACAAGTAATCCGCTAACTGTTTGACCGAAGTAAAATCATCTACATGAATAAAAGAATTTGATGGAGCTGATCTTACATAGTCTGATTTCGATCCACCCATTACGATTGGTACCACGTTATTCCTAAAATACAATATATTATAGGAGTTATTAATTACTCCATCATAAAGTAGCGTAAACTATTAGTGGTTTGGGAAATTTAATTGTAAAATGAGGATTATTAGACAAGCGCTCTGATAAACCAATTACACTCCTGATCACTTCAGACTTATAAGCCTATAATAACTATTTATTAGAATATTTGAGATAGAAAGGGTCGCTAAAGTATAGTTTAGTTACAGGCAATCATCATAATTACTTGTATCACAACTACTTACGTAAAGAGTTTGGTATAGTTTCATATGATCTACGTAATTGATTTTCTAGTAATTGGGATATAAAACAGTTTGGATGAGAAACGTGTACATGAAACAACATGTAATGAAACTTTCTTTGAGTATTTACTTGATAGTTACTTCATCAAAATGTATTCATCTCAAAATATATAGCCATTCGATGAGATATGATTTTCCCTACTTTTTGATAAGAAGATTTGTTGAGATTGGGATTGTAAATAGTCATCTAAAGATAACATGTAATTTCTTTAAACTAAACTACAATGTAAATTGACGCGTCAAAAATGTCAATGATCTTCACAAATGAATTTTAAATGTATTCAGTATTCATTTATAACAGTAAATTAAAGTCATAACTCAGTATGATCTATTTCATAACTTTATTTCTGTTAACTTTAAAAGCTTTTATTTCGATAACACATTTTCTATAACGCGGGAGTTCTAGATATGTGAATAAAGGAAAAACAATATTGTTCGCTATTCACGAAACTATACTGAATGTAAGCTCAACTGACTAAACTTTCATGTTGTACAACCCATAAATAATGTTAATAAGGCACTTGAAACTTTCAACTAAGTCTATTCCAACATAAAATTCACAATGGGACATAAAAGAAAGTAAAAGATCTGTTCCTTAGATCCAGATGTCTATGAAAGAAATGACGGAACCTATTAAATATTCATGTGTCGGAAAAAGAGCATGGAGTGGCCAATATCTTAACTCACAACGTTTGCCTAGTCAGTTATACGTATCGGTTGGTAAAAACGCTGTATCACAAAGCCAGAAAATTATACTAACCAGAAAAGTTACATGAAGGATGTTCAATTATTATAAATGTCTTCGAGGAAATGAAAACCTTCAAGCACTAATTAAAGGAATATATTACTGAACACTGTAGAATATTTGGGATTTACAAGGAAGGAAAGAAATACCTTTTTAGTCAACTGATACAAAATGTTGATCGAATCACAAAATCAAATAAGTCAAGAACTGGAAGTGGCTTCAGAAAAACATTTTCTGATGCTAAATTGTCTCTATTGTATATAAAGCTATTGTCAATACCAAAAACGATGGTAAACAACTACCTGCCAAACGTCTTCTCTAAACGCTTATATCAATTCATATGTACTTGCAGAAGGATGTATGATGGAAATACAAAAGTGAGGTCATCCGCACGATTCGTCAAACATTCGCGAAAGAAACTATGCCTTCGATAACAAAATGATAACTGAAGTTCTATAATATGACATTAAATGGAGACGGGACTTTAAGTGAATTTAATGAAGGCACTCAAAATAATCAGTAAGGAATGTGGTTCCATATAAATAAAATTTACGAGATCCATAGGAACTAAAAGGCCTAAAACAATTTGACAAACTTTCTTGAACACTCATATTAAAATTAAATAAATAATATGGATAGTGGCTAGTAGTAGAATCCAGGACGCGCGTTTCGTCCCATTTGGAACTTGTCAGCTGGATGTACCTGCATCTCAGAGTTGATGTTCACTCTGGGACTTGTGAATTAAGGCTATATCGGGGCAATGCGCACAGTATACACATATGCCAATTAGAGACTGACCAGTTGCAGTCCTAAACATCAATGGGAAGATTCAAACAAACAATACTAAGTGAATTTAAATAAATAATATTTGTATTTACAATTTTTAAAAAAAAATCTTACTTAAGAGCATTTAGAAAGAACTTTTCAGTAATATAATCTTGACATATACTATTCTCAAAACTAAGATAGAATTTATAATCATTTTTCAATAATTCAAAACACTTGCTATCATGTCTATCACAATTTAGATTTCCACATCCACCATAGATATCAACCTATTTTAAAAAAAACATTAAAGAGATTATAATATAATACATAACAATTAATGCTTAATAGTTTACAATGAGTTAATGATATTTTTTTAAAAACTGACTTATAGTACTTGTAGCAGCTTAGCTTCGTTAATCAATCACCTTGATAACCGTTACTATATAAATCCCAACGGTGTTTGAAATCAGAAGGCAATAAAAAGTGGCGTCTACAGTTTACTAGAAGATGGAACGAATAACAAAGCTAAAAATACATCGAATTTGAAGCAGAGGCGAATTAATAGTTAAATCGAATCAATGTGCAGATAGGAAAGATAAAGGCTAATAATATGACTCGAGTTTATATATATATGAGAAAGAAAATGATTCATCGAGCGACATTTAAGCTACCAACATTTCAGCTAGACTATATCATGTGAACAAGAATGCATGTTTATACAAACAACACAGTGATTATGATAGTACAAAGAAATATACGAATTGTTTCTGTTCAAATGACATAGTCTGTTAAGTAAGGTAGTAAAAGGGCTTAATCAAAGTTTAACCATAATCGAAATTGATTGTAGGGGTCTTGCCATATAAGCTTTTATCAATCGAATTATCTATTGATGTTTGATAAGATTTAACATACAATAAGAGTTTTTACCTTGTCAAACTAATGTTGTACAACAAGAAAAAATACGATGAAGAAGCCTCTATTAGTAGTTGACCTATAAAATTAGCAGAGAATAATTGAGTTGATGATCCTTAATTAGACTCATTAAAATAATTTCTTTTTAAGAGTGAGTATTATAAGGTAAGAAATTATTAAAATCCTAGTGACAATGGTTTAACTCCGCCTGTAGCTTTTCTGGGGGTTACTGCCGGTCCCAAGCCCGGGTAAAGGAGGAGGGTTGGGCATGGGGTTAGCGACCCCATCCCGTAGAAAATCAACTCGCTAAAAAAACGCTAACCAGAAAAAATCATTCAAACCATTCAAACTCTGCCCTCCGAGTTGAAGGAATAATTATGACGTCTCATGATGAAAGCCGAGTTCATTCGGAAGTCATGAGGCCGATGCACTTTCTTACAACCAGAGCGAAAATTTTTATAGGTACATAGAATGTCCGGACAATGTGGGAGACCGGAAGAGTCTTCCAAATTGCTGCAGAAATGAGAAAATACAACCTGGAGGTTCTTGGAATCAGCGAAACACATTGGACGCAGGTTGGACAACAACGACTGTCTTCAGGAGAACTTCTGTTATACTCCGATCATGAAGAAGAAAATGACCCACATACACAAGGAGTTGCATTGATGCTGTCCAGAAAAGCACAAAATGCACTTATTGGATGGGAATCTCATGGACCAAGGATCATCAAAGCCTCCTTCAAAACAAAGAGAGAGGGCATTACAATGAACGTCATCCAATGCTATGCACCGACCAACGACTACGATGAAGACGCTAAAGACCAATTCTACGATAGGCTGCAGTCGATCTTCGAGAAGTGCCCAACCAAAGACCTGACAATTCTGATGGGAGATCTCAATGCCAAGGTTGGAAAGGACAACACTGGATACGAAGACGTTATGGGACGACATGGACTGAGAGAAAGGAACGAAAATGGTGAGAGATTTGCAAACCTATGTGCCTTCAATAAACTGGTCATAGGTGGCACCATATTCCCACACAAAAACATACACAAAGCCACTTGGATTTCACCGGATCACACTACACAGAATCAAATCGACCATATCTGCATCAACAAAATGTTCAGGAGGACGATGGAGGATGTGAGAACCAGGAGAGGAGCTGATATAGCATCCGATCATCATTTGCTGGTCGCCAGGATGAAACTAAAACTTAAGAAGCACTGGACAACGACGCGGACAACATCACAAAAGTTTAATACGGCCTTTCTTCGAGATGCTGACAAACTCAACAAATTCAACATAGACCTCAGCAACAGGTTCCAGGCCATTTATGATCTACTCAATGGAGAGGGGACTACCATGGAGAGCAACTGGAAAGGTATCAAGGAGGCAATCGTTTCAACGTGTCAAGACGTTCTGGGCCAAAAGAAGCACCATCACAAGGAATGGATCACTGTTGGTACACTGGATAAAATTGAAAAAAGGAGGAACGAGAAGGCAGCAATCAACACCAGCCGAACCAGAGCGGAAAAAGCCAAGGCACAAGCCGAATACACAGAGGCAAACAAGCAAGTGAAGAGGAGCATCAGAACCGACAAACTTAAATATGTGGAAGATTTAGCGATGACAGCAGAAAAGGCTGCAAGAGAGGGAAACATGAGACAACTGTATGATACAACAAAGAAACTTGCTGGAAATTACCGTAAGCCAGAAAGACCAGTGAAATGCAAGGAAGGCAAAGTAATCACCGACATTGAAGAACAACGAAACAGGTGGGTAGAACACTTCAAAGAACTCTTGAATCGACCAGCTCCACTGAACCCACCCAACATCGAAGCAGCACCCACGGACCTTCCAATCGATATTGGCCCACCAACAATTGAAGAGATCAGCATGGCCATTAGACAAGTCAAGAGTGGCAAAGCAGCGGGACCAGACAACATCCCGGCAGAGGCACTGAAAGCAAATGTAACAGCAACTGCCAAGATACTCCACATCCTCTTCAGTAAGATTTGGGACGAAGAACATGTACCAACAGACTGGAAAAATGGACTTCTGATCAAGATACCAAAGAAAGGCGATCTTAGCAAGTGCGACAACTACAGGGGCATCACTCTCCTCTCAATACCAGGAAAAGTCTTCAACCGAGTATTGTTAAACAGGATGAAGGATTCCGTGGACGCCCAACTTCGAGATCAACAAGCTGGATTTCGTAAGGATAGATCGTGCACAGATCAAATCGCAACTCTGCGGATCATTGTGGAACAATCAATCGAATGGAATTCATCGCTCTACATCAACTTCATCAACTACGAGAAGGCATTTGATAGCGTGGACAGGACGACACTATGGAGGCTTCTTCGACACTACGGCGTGCCTGAGAAGATGGTAAATATCATACGGAACTCCTATGATGGACTAAACGGCCGAATCGTCCACGGAGGACAACTCACCGACTCGTTTCAAGTAAAGACCGGTGTTAGGCAAGGTTGCTTACTCTCACCGTTTCTCTTTCTCCTGGTGATCGACTGGATCATGAAGACGTCAACATCTGGAGGAAATCACGGGATACAATGGACAGGCAGGATGCAGCTTGACGATTTAGACTTCGCAGATGATCTGGCTCTTCTATCACAAACGCAACAACAAATGCAGGAGAAAACGACCAGTGTAGCAGCAGCCTCAGCAGCAGTAGGTCTCAATATAAACAAAGAGAAAAGCAAGACTCTCCGATACAATACAATATGCACCAATCAAATTACACTTGACGGAGAAGCTTTGGAGGATGTGGAAACCTTTACATATCTGGGCAGCATCATTGATGAACACGGTGGATCAGATTCAGATGTGAGGGCGCGGATCGGTAAAGCGAGAGCAGCATGCTTACAACTGATGAACATCTGGAACTCAAAATAATTGTCAACCAACACCAAGGTCAGAATTTTCAATACAAATGTGAAGACAGTTCTTCTGTATGGGGCGGAGACGTGGAGAACTACGAAAGCCATTATCCAGAAGATACCTTGAGGAAATCAGCTAATTGCGTCTCAAGACAAGCCCTCACATGGAATCCTGAAGGTCAACGGAGAAGAGGAAGACCAAAGAACACATTACGCCGAGAAATGGAGACAGATATGAGAAGAATGAACAAGAACTGGATAGAACTAGAAAAGGAAGCCCAGGACAGAGTGGGTTGGAGAATGCTGGTCGGCGGCCTATGCTCCATTGGGAGTAACAGGCGTAAGTAAGTAAGTAAGTAAGTAAGTGACAATGGTTTGACAAGACAGTCACAACGTATATGGAATGCATCCAAAACAGTTATAGTTTATACATCTTATCTAGAAACACCACTTCAAAATGATAGTTACATCTCTACATTAAGACATGATTATATGCTGAACAAGTAGTTTGCTAAATTGTTTAGTCCTAATTAAAACTCATGAACAAGAAACAATTAATTGTTGTGTTTTTCCCATTAATTTGAAGAACTGACAAACTATTTATGTTACTACTTAAAGTTGCTTATTTTAGTGTCCCCATTCAAATAGATTATTTAAAGATCGTCATTTTCAATACAAATGATAAAATGTACACGATGGAATGTAAAAGGACGTTTACAACCTCAAATGTGATCATAGGCACAATGCTATTGTTTATTTTTAAAGAAATAGTATGTGTTGTTGAGTATTGTTGAAGTTTGGTTATATTGCTGTTTGCTTAGTAGTAAATAACTGTGTTAGATCTGTATCCTTATCCCCATTAGTATTCAATCTGAATTACTTCAAAAATAAAACATAATTAAACCATTAATTTTGTCATGAGCATACTCTATTTAGGAAAAATGTGTTGTAGATATAATTTATTCAACGTTATGTGATGATTCAGGTAGCACAAAATATAACCATCAAGATACAGAAAAGGCACTTGACAGTTGCTTATCGTTGAAGTAAATTCTTCAGGAATAAATTTATCTTACAAATAATGCAACTATTCTCATCGTCATTATAAGTGATGAGATACACTTAGATCTATCGATGGCTTTATTTAGACACTATCCGTTGTTCAGATAACTATTTAACTTAAGAACTATTTGTCTTAATTTTGTCAAGATCTTTGGGGATATTTTAAAAATATTTTGTTACGAATGAATGTTGGTTGAAGAATCCCTGAATATCCATTATGAAACACCAACCAAATGGTTCCCAATTTTTAGAGCTTTTTCAAATGATGTCATGGTGAAAGTTACCTTCACAACAGAATTCACTTGAAACTTTGAATTTCAAAGTTCTCATATCTCTCCAGTCAAATTGTCTACTTAGTACTCCTTCCAGCCATATAGAATGGTGAAGCCTAGTAGGCCCTTCTGGTGAAGAGTGCTACAGCACGGCACAACTACCGCGGTGGGATAGCTGTTTCTGCAATGCCACTTAGAACAATTACATAACACACACAGAACCCTTTTTTGTCTTTTTTGGTTTTGTTTTTATTTGGGCAGACTCTTTTTTATTTTACCACTCTTTTTGAACCCTCAGTAGTCATACAATGACTCCTTGTAGCACTCGTAATCGTTTTGTGGGTATTGGTAGAGTGGTTGATTAGGCCAATTTCGACCACTCACGATTAACCGCTCACGTTAGTTCATGGAAACAGTCCCATGATCCGGGAGACACGACGGGGATGTGTGAGTCGGATTTTGTCTACTTACTAATTTTGGTGATACGTTTTTTAAATACATTAATAATCAAATTGAACTTTGACAATCATAAAATAATGAATAACTGTTATACATCACTTATGCATATTTTTTCACGTATACTTTCATTTTTCTCAATGATAGTCTCAAATATTGATTAACCGTAACCTAATATGTTTTAACTGTTTATGAGACCTAGTTTTTATATAGAAGTGAAAACACAAAGTTAAATCAATATTCGTTCAGATATTATTTATAACTAAACGAGCCATTTAAATTTTATTATTAATTTTAAAACAAAATCAATTACCAATATGATTAGATTTGTGTTTTCGCTTATATAACAAATTCACATAGTAACAAATATTATCAATACAGTAGTTGAATAAAACAAACAAAATTATTTCAGATTCTATCATTATTAACATTTCTTACCTTGATATATTTCATTAATTCCTTAGCATATTTCATTCTTGGACTACTTCCAGCACAATTACTTACAAACCATGCAATCATTTTACTTTTACCAATAGAAAAATCTTTATCAGGTTGAATTAAATTGTTTAAACTTCTTGGTTGAACATCCGAAAAACGAACATACTTATAATATGGTGTAACTATAGTTGAATCCACTGTATATGTAGCGGTGAAATTAATCTATAAGCAAAATTTAAAAGTGATTTTATTTTATTGAAATACCATGATGATTAGTGTATAAATACAGAAAGAGCAAATTTGAAGTACCCCTCAATATGACTAGTGTCAATAATGCAATAAGATATCAATAAAATCTTTAAGGGTCATATAAAATTATATGAATAAAAGCTATTTACCATACATTTACGTTATGAGATACCACAACTAATATTCTTCACCTCATTTTTGTACACATTACTTTATTGATATTATCTACAACAATTTATACACAAATACTTTTTATGGGAGAGGACAAACCAGCTTCCAGCTGAAGATGTTGGAAGTGGATCAGACATACATTAAGGAAATCACCAATGTGCATTACAAGACAATCCCTAACTTGGAATCCGGAAGGGAAGCGAAAAAGAGGAAGGCCAAAGAACACACTACGCCGGGAAATAGAAGCAGATATGAAAAGGATGAATGTTAACTGGAAAGAACTGGAAAGGAAGGCTCAGGACAGAGTTGGATGGAGAATGCTGGTCAGCGGCCTATGCTCCTCGATGAGGGGTAACAGGCGTAAGTAAGTAAGTAACTAAATAACCTTGCCAGTTTTACAGTTATATGTTTTAATAAACAAAAGTAATTTAACTAATTTCTTTAGAGCTTTGATTTCTTTCAGTTGAGAAAATATTTAACATTGAATTATTTTAACATTTCTGTTTGGTTAGTACAGGGGGTTACAGAGACTATTTTTTACTATCTTCTAATTCATGCTTTTACCAACGTTATGGTATCTAATTTTGAAAATACGTTACATTATGTTGTCCTCTGATCAAATATACATTGAGGTAATTCACATTTACTGAAAAAAGTAACAAATTCTGTGGACTACTGTTATAAAGGATTGAATCACTGTTATAATCTGTAAACACCAGTTTCACTGTAATCGTCTCATATTTTCTCAGCGCTTATGAAACAAGAGTTTACTAAAGATAGTATAGAATTCTGTTTTTCAGTTGGTTTGTAAACAAGTGTTCATCCTAAAAATAGAATTACCCAATTGATATCAGTTTAATAATTATTCATAGCATAAGGTGAAAAGACTAATAGCAATAAAGTTGAATTGGAACTCTAAAACATCAGTCGGGTAACCTTAACTGAAGAAATTAATCCAGTCGAGGAGTAAAACAATGAATTAGAACATTATGGCATATGACAAATTAAATGCAATAGGAAATTCGATATTCAATGTGTCTCAGCCATAAATACCAATTTTTTTCATTTTTAATCAGATAGAAAATTTAATACATAATACTGGAATAATATGCAAACGAAAAAGATATCCAAATTTCTTTTTGAAGATTGAAAGATTAAAGACGGTAAAAAAATCAAGACGACTTAACAATTTCTTTGTTAACTTCGGTAGAATTAAAATATGGCATACAGGTAATGTGATTCGATTATGTTGAAGAGTTTTGTTAGTTCATTTATTGGAAATGTATTACCAAAAGACTTAATGAACACCTTAGGTGATACTTTATCTATTCAAGTATTTTTAGATATATGTTAAGATTTTATTTGATGGCTCACTTATGATGTTAACAAAAACGTCACATAAAGGAAATAAATAAACAATTATTGGTGTTCACTAATGAGAATAATCTAAATTTTAAGTCAACATTGTGTTTCAGGTTCATGATTCTTTTTTTCTGACTATGACAGTATGCACACGTGTAGCTATTCAGATCAATAAATGAATTTCATGATACCAATCAAGCTGATAAAGTAATAATATCAGAGATTTAATTTTGCTTTAAAATTTGAAATTTTAAGAAAACAAATATTATTCTGTCAGTGGAAACAGATAGTTAGTATATGAATCCGAAACACTGACTCAGAAGTATCAATTCATAAGATGATTTTCATTAAACATACGATAATCCTAGGAATAAACACTGGTTTATGTTATCACATCAAGTGAATGTAAATAAATAAAATGACTTTAATTGAATTAGTCTATGGGGAATATAAATGGTGAAAATCTATTCACCAAGTAATGGTCGAATTACAATTTAATGAACAGACATGAAACTGTATAAATTCATGACTAACCAAATTTTTGGGCATAGCGAATGAATAATGTCGTGGAGATTCAATATGATAAATCAGCCAAGATTGATTCCTCGGTTTGTTTAAGTCAGTAAGTCTTGGATTACTTTCAAAAACGACTAAATCGGCTTGCTGGATATTGTCTCCATTGCCACTTACATTACATTCATATACAGGACACTTTGACAGATCGGGAAGTGAATTAGAAAATTTACCATGATAATGAATACGTTTCATGAGAATTTGTCCATTTTTACGTGCCTAAAATTAGGAAATAATGGTAGATAGGATGACAAATCAAGTAAAATAGATAAAACCCATGATAAAATAAATGGTTACGAATTCGAAAACAACAGATAAAAAAGACAGATTAGGAAAATGTGTCAAATAACACATAACTAATAGCCAAGTTGGTTTCAAACCTGGACTTGAACATACCTAACAGATATTCGCCCCCTGATAAGTCCTGGATCATAGATATACTACTCGGCGCCAGACTAGAATTGTACTCCTTGACATTAAGGCAGTATTCAACTTTGTTGGTCGAGATGTTCTCTGAGAGTGTCTAACATTTAAAGGCGAATCAAAGCATAAAGTTAAGTTTGTACAAACATTTTTTCTGACACTAGTGGTCGGGTTAAAGCGTATGGAAACTGTTATCAAAATTGCTAACCTCAGGGTTCCTTACTCTCTTCTTTCTCACTTAAACCTGTCATAAACATCCTTTCAGAGATAATGCTCTCATCGTCTTACTTTATAAGTGTCAATTCGCTACTAGGGGGTTTACATTTTGACTTCCAATGGGCAGATGATATAGTGCTGTTTGATGAAGATGCTGACAAAGCCCACAGTCTTCCAGCCACGTTAAGCAACAGTGGAGACATTTTTGGGATAATTTTCTCTCCCTCGAAATGCAAAATGTTGCATCAAGACTGGTCTATTTTAACGCCTGGACGAACAATAGGAGGATAAATAAGTGTGCACACCAACCAATTCTTAGAACTTTCATGAGTCCTGATGTGTTGATATTCGACGAAATATAGTCACGGATAGAAAATGCGGAGTATGTGTTTTTCACCTTGTGTCACTGGCGGAGTAGGTAGGATATCTGTCTGCTAGCCAAAGAATGAGTTTGCTGAGCATCTGCTCGTTCCATTTTACAGTATTGTTACGAAACATAGCCATTACTTATTTTTCAAAAAGAAAAACATTCTTTGGATTAAAACTAGAATCTTTTCAACTTCTATAAATAGTTGGACAACATATACAGATCATTTCACAAAATCATATGTTGAGTAAAGTGATGGTCACATTTACATCTAGATCACTGGAAACGTTTTATGAGATTTCTTTGAAAAAGAACCTTAAAATTTGCAATCAATCATCGTCTTCTATTTCAAATTTTCTTTATACATAGTATATACTTGACATTGCAATACACAAAGTCATAGTGTGGGTAAAAATAATTTGCGAATCATTTATAAAGCAAACAGAGAATTCATCACCATGATATGAAACATTTTCATAAGTTTTTACTTCTAATTTGCGTACTTGTTATTTTTCTAGTGCTACTAGTTAACGTTCTGTGGTATTGCTTCTTTATAAGAGGTGGGGTTGCAAACTTTACACTCAACTCTTGTCTTTTACTTAGGCTTGAGGCCATTACCAACCTTATATTTGCTCCAGATGGAATTTTCTTAATAACACTACTTATCATAAATAGGTTGTGAAGACCGTTTCGGAAGAAAAAGTAATACGCTATTTATCTTTTTTCATGTTGTTGTTCACATCACCGAGAAAAGTAATAATGAATAAATTAATTAATAACACCTATATAATTTCACCTAGCCCGTAACTATTTTGATACTAATGCATATATGTTTTACAAGAGATATATTTCCTATCAATCGTTCAGAGTAAAATGTTTCATAATATTGTGTGTGATAGATAAATGAGTGCAAAGTATTAACCAGGTACAATACATATTCATAAAACAAACTAATAAATCATTAAACTTAAACTAAAATCATTGATTAGTAACGTTTACAATTAGTTTCATTAGCTTTCATTTGAATCTATTATAAAATAATCTAGTGAAACTCAAAATATGGTCACTAGTGAAGAAAATGAATACAAAGGCGTGGAAAAGCATTGCTTCATGGATTTCCTTCCAGTCTGAAACTATTCTTAATTCAATGAGAATTGTTGCACTTACAGCTTAATATTTTGATGACACATTTAAACTAAGTTCAATGAAGATCAAAAAACTCTTACGCATTGAAAAAACTATCTAAATTGATAGATATCCCAAAAAATATCCAGAGGAAAACGATAATGATTAGTTCTATCAACATGGTCCTGGATGTTGCAAAATCTGGATTCTCAAAACTACACTTTGAAACTTGGGACCAATCAAGTTAACAGCATAATATAAGCTAAAACTTTTCACTTATTTTGCCAAAACTCCCTACTTTAATTTTCGTCGATCAGTTAATTAACCAGTCAACAGTTTGAATGAATAGTCTCACTGTGTTGGGGACACCCGGAAATCTCCTCGAAAAAAGCCCAAAAGGTACCTAAAAACGCTAGGAAACATTTTCTACAATCAGCATTGAGCAGACGTTTCTCAGAAACATCTAGAATGTGAAGGGTCACGTGGCACACTTCTGACTAGATGATTACCTATCCTGCTACCATCACTAGAAAGGTCCTAGAAACCAAAGGTCGTCTAAAATGTTATAAATACCCTAAATTTTCTGCACATAGACTAACCTTCGAGTAAAGCTTTCTTTCCATATTTCGCGTCTTTTCTGTCGTGTAGATTAAGTCTCGGGGTTATTAGAACAGCTGAGGAAACTGAATCAAGAGTCCAGTCAGAAGATTTATCACACTGACCATAAAATATTCTGATTAAATTTCTGTAAAAAGTTATTAATACAAATTTTATTAGGGACAACCCTTTTACTCTAATCATAATAAATTTTTTTCAAAAACAATAGTAGCTTTAACTAATCACTATTGGTTTCAATAAATAACCCATTTTCTCCTTACTTTATTGTTTATATTTGTTATGAAAATAACTGGAATTTTCTTCGATATCTAGTTGATAGCTAGTAGAGAATGTCTACTATCTACAAATTTAGGATTGTTCGCACTAATAAAATATGTCATTATTAGTAATGGTTTAAATGATCTCTTTATTGGTATTTTGGACTTAATTTTAATGTCTTGTTTAGCATACATGCAATGTAGGTAGATCTCTTTGATACTGACATATTGTGACAAAGTCTCAGTAAGTGAATGGATAACGCGCTGATGTACGGATCTAAATGTACTGGGTTTGAGTCCCAATGTCAGGATCGACAATGAGATTCAAGTATATCTAGATGATAGGTTCTGAATAGATTGAAGTTTAAATCGTGGATTGCACATCTAACAGCGATCCATTAGTACCGAACAACAACAATAATAGATAGTCAAATATCTGATTATATAGATAAATTCTGATGACTATTTGTTTTCTCATATTAAATTCAATGTAAGTATGAAAAAGACGAACTATCATTTTTAAGGAATGTGAGACAATATTCAAAATGAACACTTAATCTAACCAATCATCGTAGAGCAATACAATAAAAACTCTTACAGAGGCTTTACTGCTCTACACGACTTTAATGTTGACTGTCCTCTATTCTGAACTAATTTAGAAGAGTAGCAAAAGTTATCGCCATCGATAGAAAGTAAAATTGTTTTAGTATCTTGCAATGAATTGGCTTTCAAATAAATGTTGGCTTCAAAGATTTTAAACGCAATAATTTATCGGTAAATAAAAAACATGCCGTTTCGTCCTAGTATGGGACTCCTTAGCAGTGCGCACCCACGAACCTGCTCTCGCGAGATTCGAACTCACGACCTTCCAGTCTCGAGTCGAAGCCCTTAACCAATAGACCACTGCGCTGGTATCCAACGGTGTTAATGTCTAACTTCAACTGATCCACGAAGTTGAGCAACCATTCACCAATGGTCTTCAGTGAGTTCCTATCTCACAACAGACGTGGTTTTGAACTCCACTGGTCACTGCTTCTCACTATAGCTCCTAGATATACTCCTAGATATACCTAGATATACTGCTGAGGAGTCCCATAATAGGACGAAACGGCCGTCCAGTGTTTCCAGGTTTTCCATGGTGGTCTAGCTTCAATTGACTCATGCTTTCTACTATGAAAAATAATAAATCTCCACAAAACCCCTTCTGATAATTACTAAAAAATGCATCAACGTTTTATCTTACTCACAAAACGGAAGAACCATTAACAATCTTAAAACGACACTGAATTAAAGCTTTCTGCACATGAGAAAGCATTCGGAAATAAAATGTATCACTCCATTCATTTGAACATGAAAGTGGGTTTCCTTATAAGGTTTCCTAGGTAGTTGATTATTGTTTGTTACCGTTTAAACGTGAATTGTACAAACATCTACATAAGCTTATTAATAAGCTAATTTTGAATAATCTTTGGTAGACAAAACAAAACTTCCTTTTGATTATTATCAATTATTACATGTCTGAACTTTGGTATACCGATTGTAAAACTTAAAAACGGGAATACTTATAATGAAGCAATTTACAAGTGAAAGTGTCTGTTAGTCCATAACTAACAGCCTGAGATCAATAGCAAACTTAGTGGGTATATATTCAGTAGCGTTCTTAGTAGTGTATATGGAGGGTACTATTATAATGACCTTAGGTTGTTTAGATCCCACATTTTTGCATGAATTACGGTATAAATTCCTAGTTCAAAAAGAGAATATTTTACGTTGTTCATCAAAAAATATACCTATTAATGAATAGCACTTATGAAATGCTATTTCTGATTTTACTGTGATTCAATAATCAGTAAGTAAATAGGCCATATCTTCTTTTTGATTATTTGTATTCATATCACTAACATCGTTAGTACGAAAACGTGAGACGACCAAGTTTTAATTAACACCTACTATGAAAACTACTAAATCGAAATAAAACCGATTCATATGAGTCAATTAAAGTGCGATTATTCACAGTTCATAAAATTTGAAGTATCAGTTTTTAAAGTGACAAAGACCGTCATCGTTTAGCTTGACATGTAAGGACTGGAGTAATCTCTGGAGAGAGTAATAAATTATATCGAAATTTATATCTCTAGTAAAAAAATGTCTTACAATGTTTAGAACGAAGAGAACTTCGAAGGATATCGTTGCTTAATAATCACACATTGACA